AGCAAGATTGGATATGTTTTTCGTTAGCAACCACCTGGTCGCCAGCTGCTCCGATTTGCAAATACTCCCTGGATATAAAACGGATCATAATATCATTTCAATGCGGGTACAAACCAATGAAAAACAAAGAGGACCTGGCCTGTGGAAATTTAATGAATCTTTATTACATGATGAAAAATACATACAAATCGTAAATGAATGCATCCAGAGAACGATTGAGGAGTACGCTGTACCTCTGTACACTAAAGAATTTCTTTCAAATGCAGAAAACTTCAACAAAATAGAATTCAAAATAGGTGATGACCTATTTTATGAAACACTTCTGATGCTCATCAGAGGAGAAACTGTTAAATACTCAAAAATTAAAGCAAGAGAATTCAAGCTAAAAGAAAAAGAATTAATTACGAAGGTAGCTCAAGCAAGCTCAGCTTTTACAATCAACAGATCGGAAGAAAATAGCTCACAGCTTAAGAGTTGTAAGGAGGAGCTAGAGAAGTTTAGGGAGCCTATTGTTCACGGTTTAATTGTAAGATCCAGAATAAGATGGCACGAAGAAGGCGAAAGGTCATCTAAATATTTCCTCGGTTTAGAGAAAAGAAATGCAATGAGGAAAAGCCCAGCAGAGCTTATCTCTGACAATCATAAAATTACAGAAGCGTCAGAAATCCTTAAGGCCTTCACCAACGACTTAACCCATAAATTTAACAAAATAAACAGTGCTCCCAAAGAAGTAGTTGAAAAACTCGCACTTGAGAACATCAATGAAAAAATAAACACACATGAACGAGCACTCCTTGAGAACACGATCTCTTATCAAGAATTAACACAGGCAATGCAAAAAATGAACAAAGGAAAATCCCCAGGCTCAAATGGGTATACGGCATGTTTCTTTAGAAAATTTTGGCAGAAATTGGGGCCCTTCCTTTACAGAGCATTTATATATTGTACCAAACTTGGCAAAACCCTTCTTTCTCATCGAGAGGGGATCATAACAATGATCCCCAAGGCCGGAAAACAACTCAACACTTTAAAAGGTTGGCGCCCAATAACGTTGTTGAATGTTGATTTCAAAATAATTTCGTCAGCTATCTCGGCACGAATACAAAAAGTAATAGGAAAGCTAGTAGACCCATGTCAAACAGCCTACATCAAAGGACGATACATAGGTGAAAATACACGCTTAATATAATATGACGTGATAAATCTCCTTTCAAACAGAAAAGAATCAGGGTTAGTTATGTCTGCTGACTTTGAAGCTGCATTTGATTCGCTCTCGTGGGAGATGATACTGGAAGTGTTAAAACAGTACAACTTTGGACCAAATTTCATAGAAATCATTAAACTTCTATATTTAAACAACGATAACTTCTCCCGAATAATAGTAAACGGGCATTTGGGGGATAAAATATACCTGAATTGCGGAATCCGACAAGGAGACCCGACTTCAGGCTACCTTTTCAACCTCGCAGTGAACCTGCTTACGCAACAAATCAAGAAATCAAGAAAAGTAACCGGCATCAAAATTTCAGACAGTGCGGAAGCAAGAATTTCTCAATATGCCGACGATACCATCTTATTCCTAAAGAATGAAACAGAATGCGTTAAAGGAGCTATACAAGAATTGCAAAGATTCTCAGAAGCATCAGGACTTAACTTAAACATTGACAAAACATGTTGTCTGCGGATTGGCTGCGCAAGGCAGTTCAACAACGTTGGTTGCAGCCAAATCAAGTTTGTTGACCAATTGAAAATATTAGGAATAACGTTCAATGAGAATAACAAAAACATTACTCAGGTCAATTTCGAACCGAAAATCACTCAGATTCAAACAGAAATTCAACATTGGCGTAGAAGAAACATTACAACGTTAGGGCGAATAACAGTCGTCAAGTCCCTGTTGATGTCAAAATTAGTTCATCTATTTATGGCCCTACCTGACCCCTCTAGAAAAGAATTTAAAAGTCTTGAGAGAATCTTATTCGAATTTGTTTGGGGTGGTAAACGAGATCCAATAAAACGCGCGAAACTGATACAAAACTTTACCGCAGGTGGTCTTCGCATGATAGATGTCCAATCCTTCTGCGCCAGCATGAAGCTGACATGGCTCAAAAGAATAATGGCATCAAACGCATCATGGTCACGTATAGTCGAAATTGAACTACCACCAATTGAAAACGTGCTTCAATTTGGCAGTAAACAACTAGAGAAATTGATGAAGAAGGTTGAAAACAAGTTTTGGAGCGACGTACTAAAAAGTTTTGCAAACTTTAGCAGAGTATACGTACCTGATGAGGCTAACGTACTTTTCGAAAGCATATGGTTTTCAGATTACACGAAATTCCAATGTTCAATAATACGTAGCTGGTACAAAAAAGGAATTCGGCTCATAAATGATTTGTTTAACGAAAATACAGGGACCTTACATACCAAAGAGAGCCTCGAAAATGCTTACGACGTGAAGATGACATTTTTATGTTATTCGAGCTTAATCAGGAGCTTACCTGATTACATAAAAAACCAACAAATAGATAAAACACTTGGGCCGATAATGCCACATAGAATGTGCGTGGTGTTAAACAATGAAAAATTTTCACGTCAAGCGTACGAAGCAAATGTAAAACATAAGCAGTTAGAAATACGGAATGCTAATGAACGCCAAAAAGCAAAGTGGATCAGAGATATTGGGGGTTTTGAGGAAAATAGCCTTGCAATCTTAAAAAAGGTCACAAAGTCAGCAAAACTGATAATGTTTCAATATAAACTCATAAATCGCATAGTAGCAACGAATACCTACCTTAAGACTATACACATTAAAGACGAAGATACTTGCACGTTCTGTAAAGTAGAACCGGAAACACTGGTTCATATGTTCTGGCATTGTAATAAAGTAAAGTCCTTTATAGCAGATATCAAACGCAGAATTTTAGATCCGTACGAAATACGCCTCCCTATAAACAGCAAAACTTGGTTCTTCCTAATCGATGCAAATCCACAACAGACACATATATTGGCTTTAGCAAAAATGGTCATATATGAAGCAAGGTTACGAAATATCACACCAGAGGTGACACACCTAATAAACAAACTGAAAATTGTTGTAGAAATAGAACAACAAGCAGCTAATCGCATAAACAAACAAATAGAATTCGAGAAAAAGTGGGGAAGACTAAAAAGCATCGTCGTACAAAACGATGCACATTAACTGCCGTATATTTTTTTTACACAAATCTTTGTACGTCAATCCATAACACAGTTGCACACTTGCAGCACTCTTGCCTGCAAATGCATGCATTTGCATGCATTTGTGGGCATGTAAATTGTATCTTCATGCAATTTGCATCTCATGTGAGATCAGTTTGCATCATTGCATGATGTAGGCTGATCTGCATGAGGAATAGAAATACGTAAAAACACTTAAAAATACATACATAAAATGCATACAATAAATACATAGTATACAGTATACATAAATATACACATCATATTTATAAAACAAACATGCCACAAACACCCGGATGATCCCCAAGGTCACGAGCTCGCCGGTCGCGGGAAGGGACTAGCGGCTGTTTTGTCTTGCATGTGATGTGTGAAAGGAGTAAAACAAAGTAGAAAATAGTAGAGATTCCAGTCACGCCGCCGCCGCCTCGATCGCCCCGGTGACCGGGCTGGCCGAGTCGCCGCCGGCGCGTCTTCCGCCGGCGTCGCTCGCTGCATCGCCGGTGTCATTGATGGTTGATAGTCATTGATAGCTGTTAAAAGTTGATATAAAAACTGTTCTGTATTGATAAATGTAAACCTCTGGGCTTTGTTAAATAATTTGTATTTTTTGCAGTGTTGTTATCCTTATCTTGTGTTGAACGTTTCACCCGGACCTTGCCTCGCTGTTTTGCTCACTCTGACTTGCAGTGCCGCAAAGACCGGTCCCGCGGTGGTGCCATGTGTGCCTTGACCTGTGTAGTGCAACCATTGCAGCGGTGCAGTGATAGTGGGACGCGTGTGAGCTGTTGGGGGGAGTTGTCGTTGCGCGTCGTGCCAGCTGAGGCAGCTGATGAAACGACTGATGAGCCACTGGTGGCGCATCATTGGAGTGGATGATGTCGGATGACTGTGAATGTGATGAGATGATCTGAGTGTAATAAATGTATATTATCGAGAAAAAAAAAACCCTAGGCTGACGAAGGAAGCTGAAATTCCTTCGAAATCTCGCAATGCAAAAAAAAAAACTTTAAGCTGGTGTCTGAATAATCTTACACTAAATGAATCCTTCCAAGCTCAAGAACAACATCCATAATCTGTCTCGTAATATTCGACAAATGTAATATTCTCCAGCAGACGTGGAGCATTCCATGTAGGCGGACTCGAGGACGGGCGATACTGCACGAACCCACCGCAAGGGTGGAAACGATAAGGGCCAGAATGTTTTGTCGCTTACCGAGACAAGTGAACGGCATGTACGAACATGTGGCATCTGCGGACCTATTCGCCAGTCGAGGAACTTTTATGAAGTCTCTTAGAGCCTTCTTAATCTCTCTGACATGACTATACGTACCTATATTTGACAACCCATGAGCACATGTATTTATAGGTTTTAGTATCGGACTGCGTCTGTAAATGGGTGTCATACCTGTGGGCGTTCAAACAAATACATACATACATACATACATACATACATACATACATACATAACGTTGAGCAATGCAATGCTTCCTCCGACTCTGAAGTCGGAGTCGATAAGATTTTGGAGACTCCAACTTCGACTCCATCCCCGGGCAGAACTGTCGACTCCTACCAACTCCGACTCCACCGCCCTGCAGTAGGTTAACTACGACATTTACATGATTGGCGTTGCAGTGGACCAAGAACCCCCGCCAGAGGCGTGGAGCTCAGCAGCCGAGCATAGAACACAGAGCATCGCCTTAGCACAGAGCGCCCCGCCCCGGGATAGCACAGGCTATCCGCCGGCCGAGCACGCAGCACCGGCCGGCCGGCAGAGCGGCGTCGATCGATGCCGCCAGCCGACGGCCGCGAGACCGGCGCGCCGGTGGAGACGAGGAGAGCAGAGCGGCGGCGAACGGGAGCGGAGCGGCCCGAACAGTGACCACAGTCCTCAGTGAGAGCGGAGTGTGCAGGGAAGCGTCTGTAGCCGTCGGAGCGGGAGCGGAGTGGCGCAGGACGAGTCGGAAGTCCTCAGTGACTGTTTCGTGAGGGGAGGCTCCAGGGAGGAGACCGCAGCGAGGCGGCGCGCGTTAAAGAGGCGCCACTGTCGGCGCGGCTGCAGACGGAGGTGAGTGCCACAGTATACTGGCGTGCAGTGCCACACTGCCACAGTATACTGGTCTGTAGTGCCACACCGCCACAGTATACTGGCCTGCAGTGCCACACTGCCACAGTATACCTACAGGCCTGCAGTGCCACACTGCCACAGTATACCTACAGGCCTTCAGTGCCACACTGCCACAGTAATTACTGGCCTGCAGTCAGCAGTGCCACACTGCCACAGTATACAGGCCTGCAGTACCACACTGCCACAGTATATATACACTGCAGTAGTGGTATGCATGTACGCTGACCGGCAGGAGACAGACGATTCAGACGGCTGGCAGTTTGATGGCGGGACTAATATGTAATTGAATAGCACATGCAGTGTTTAACCCTCGCACTTATAAGGGCATGGGTCAGATGGATCCCTCTCCGGTCTTTCGCAAATAACTTGCGTAAAAAGCGGCCGATCGCAACAAAATTTTCAGGCCCTTGAGTCAATCAATGTTACATCTACCCTGAATATTTCATGGCGTTGACCCAAACGACCTTTGACTGATCTGTGACCTGCTTCACCAGACCATGTCGGGCCAGAATATAAGGGCATTCAGATGCAATTCAGCTCATAATAGCATAAGAAATGCATCCAATGGCTTCAGATATTGGTAGTTTGAGGACCCAGATGTGCCAGTTGGAGCCTCAGGCATTGACAGACGGGGCCTCATATATTGACAGTTGGTGCCATAGGTATTGACAGTTTGGGGCGCCGCAATAGGTAGGTATTGACCTTCAGCTGTTGCCCTTTGGCGAGGCTCAGACGTTGACAGGCGGAGAGAGGGAGGTATTGTCAGTGGGGGGCCTCAAATATTGACAGTTCGTGGGGACCCAGGTGTTGGCAGATTTCAGAGGTTAACCCTCGCCGGCACAGGCCATTTTGCGTCCTTCGACGGCACATGGGGGGGGGGGGTACGACCCCCCTCGCGTTTGGCCCCTGATCGAGCTAGAGCTTCGCGGAAAAAAGCGAGCGTGTTGCCCGTCACGAGAGGAAGCCGATGATACCCAATTGTAAGGTCCTAGGTCATCGGGTGACCTTCCAGGTCAGGTCAATGACCCGAAAACCGGGAAAATCGGGACCTGTTAGAAAGTCGTAAAGTGTGGCTAGTTTTGATCAGAGATGATGTCTTCAAGCATTTAGACCAGGTCGGGTCAGGTCCAACCGGTAGGGGTTGTGACGAATATTCGTAATACGTGTCAACCGCCTCTGACAGCTTCGTAACATGTTACGAAGGCACCAAAACTACTTCGCAAATGTTCAAATGGTTGCTAAATTCGAATTCAGCTCCAAAAACTAGCCTAGAAACATGTAAAACTCGAAAAAGTGAACCGAGGTCACCCGAGGTCACCAAAGGTCAATGACCTGACCTGACCTTCAGGTGACCTTGACATCCACCCTAATGTATGGGAGCAACATCAAATCACATGTTTGAACGTTTGAAACCACGAAAAGCTTGCAAACGCGCGGCTAATGCGAGCCGACATACGCCGAATCGCGATTCCGGCCAAACATGGTCTCGGAAAAGAGGTCACAGGTCAAAAGTCATTTGGGTCAGGGTCATGAAATTTTCAGGGTAGGTGTAAAATTGATTAATGCGAGGGTACTGAAAGTTTCGTTGCGATCGGCCGCTTTTTACGCGAGTTATTCGCGAAAAACCTTGGGGGGGGTTGCATCACCCCCCCCCCCCCCTGTGCCGGCGAACAGGGGCCTCAGAGCCTTAAGGCTCAGATGGCGGGGCGGGGCCTCAGATGCTGACAGGCGTGTTGGTCAGATGCTGACAGGCGGCGGCGCCCGCTGAGCAGCCAGCTGTGAGCTGCTGCAGCGCCGGAGCGGCCCGGTCGCCCTGCTGCCAGGCCCGCCGGACGGATGGCTGGCCGGCTGCTGCTGGTCGCTCTGGTGGCGGCCGTCCCACACGGTGAGGAGCCCACCCCACCTGGCTCGGAGTCGCACACCCGCGGACGTCAACGCCAGCTGTTAACGATTGCTCAGCTAAATCGGCATTTACTGTTACGTAATGAACTCAAGCAGGGATGCGAGCAGGGTTTGCAATAATCGCTGCAGGTCGGTCTAAAGGTGTGAGCATTAGATCTGAACCTGAAATTAGTCAGATACAGCACTGAAAATAAATTCACACCCGCTCCTGGTGTTTACACCTTTTTAGGAAATGTTTACACCCCACCGTTTTTTAGCACCTGCACCGGTGTAGTTTCAACACCAAGCTTTGGTGTAAGCATACACTGAATCCTGGTGTAACACCAGGCACATACACTGGCGTATGGCGTTAAATCACTGTAAGTACACCAGTTTGTGGTGCTACACGACGTCTTTACACCATAAAAAGGTGCTACACCATTAATTTGCACCTTCTTTACGGGTACAAAACAAATACCCTTACACCAATGTGTGGTGTTAGTAGCCAATTGGGTACACCCTCTTCCGGTGTTGTGAAGGAGATACACCGGTGTTTGGTGTAGCTGCAGCTCGAGGAGTTAATATATATATATATATATATATATATATATATATATATATATATATATATATATATATATATATATATATATATATATATATATATATATATATATATATATATATATATATATACGTGTGCATGGGTCTGTGTGAACATATGTGACAAGTCCATATGGGTATACTGTGGCTTGCCTAGACCCCATACAAAGCAAAGCATTCCTTAAATAAAGACAATTTATTTTGTAACGTCCGAGACGAGCAATAAACAAATGTTATTAACAAAAATTGCGGCAACTGTGAGTGGCGCTTTCTCAAGTGCACGGGTGGTCACCGGACTCTGCTGACAACATACCAGACCAGACATTTATCTCACACTTATTTATCACACTTATTTATCACACTTATTTATCACACTTATTTATCACACTTATTTATCACACTTATTTATCACTTATTTATCTCACACAGGGCTGCGGAGTCGATGGATTTTCGGCGACTCCGACTCCGACTCCGACTCCGGCTTTCAAAAACCAGCTCCGACTCCGACTCCGACTCCGGGCAGAATTGTCGACTCCGACTGACTCCCAACTCCCGACTCCGACTCCGCAGACCTAGCAGGGCTGCGGAGTCGACAGATTTTCGGTGACTCCGACTCCGACTCCGGATCGGGTTTCTAAAAGCGACTCCGACTCCGACTCCGACTCCGGTCACAACTGTCGACTCCGACCGACTCCGACTCCGACTCCGACTCCGACTCCGACTCCGCAACCCTGATTCTCACACCACCTCCATTCCCCACACAGCCCCGCATCACTCGACTCAAACTGAAGCGCGAATCAACACACCGCCGTTCATTTGAATTTACGCATGTGCACGCGCAGCCGCTCGCGCTGGCCGGCGGCCGGCTGACCTTGAATCCAAGGCCATATCCGATCCATGGTAACGGTGCTAGTAACACCGTTTAGAGATCAATGAACTGGGAGCTACACCATTGTGTGGCGTATGCGATATAACGTCTCTGTCACGGGGTGTTGACACCAAATGGTGGTGTTATTTATCCGTAGCGTCGGTTGGTCTTAGGTGGCATTGGTGTTAATTGTCGGTGTTGATTTTGAACACCGAGTAATTGCACCATTCTTCGGCGTCACACCCCACAGTTACACAGTTGAGTTGTGTTACACCCTACCAAAACGCCTCTCATTTGTGCTTTTTTTCGTGTCACCGGCACGCGAGTGTTAATTTATTTTCAGTGAGGGCTGCGGAGTCGATGAATTTTCGGCGACTCCGACTCCGACTCCGACTCCGGCTTTCAAAAACCAGCTCCGACTCCGACTCCGGGCAGAATTGTCGACTCCGACCGACTCCAACTCCCGACTCCGACTCCGCAGACCTAGCAGGGCTGCGGAGTCGACAGATTTTCGGTGACTCCGACTCCGACTCCAGCTCGGGTTTCTTAAATCGACTCCGACTCTGACTCCGACTCCGGTCACAACTGTCGACTCCGACCGACTCCGACTCCGACTCCGACTCCGACTCCGCAGCCCTGCCGGAGATAGGTATCAAAACTTTACACTTTCGGTACAGTGAGGACCCGCAGCTCCGTCCGATGACCGTTGTCCGCTCTGGGCTGTGGCAGTGTGGGCGGAGATCAACTGCTACCAGTGCTCGTCGCGTAACGGCACCAACCCGGGCTGCGAGGACCCGTTCGCGCCGCTCTCCTCCAACTACGTCAAGGCCTGCAAAGTGCCCAAGCCGAAACACGTCGGCGAGTTCCCGGCCAACTTCTGCGTCAAGGTCACCGGCACGTCCAGTAAGTAGTTACTCTCCGCTGCCGATTCCCGCAAATGTGAACGAACTGCAGGTACATTAATACACTGGCGAACATATTAGGTATGAGCTACACCGGTCGTAAATTACGGTTTTCCGCACCCATTCTGAGCCTCTCCTTCAACATAAATTTATTCGTATCTGTTACAGCCGTGTGTCCGTCTGTTACCCCTGTCTGTCTGTTACAGCCCTGTGTTTGTTCGGCCCTGTATGTCTGTTACAGCCTTGTGTGTCTGTTACAGCCATTTGTGTCTGTTTATACCCCCTGTGTCCTGTGTCTGTTAGTTGTTACAACCCTGTGTCTGTTACAGCCCTGTGTGTCTGTTACAGCCATGTGTGTCTGTTACGGCCCAGCCCTGTGTATCTGTTACAGCCCTGTGTGTCTGTTACAGCCCTGTGTGTCTGTTACAGCCCTGTGTGTCTGTTACAGCCCTGTGTGTCTGTTACATCCATGTGTGTCTGTTACATCCCTGTGTGTCTGTTACAGCTGTCATCTGTGTGTCTGTTACAGCCCTGTGTGTCTGTTACAACCCTGTGTGTCTGTTACAGCCCTGTGTGTCTGTTACAACCCTGTGTGTCTGTTACAGCCCTGTGTGTCTGTTACAACCCTGTGTGTCTGTTACAGCCCTGTGTGTCTGTTACAGCCCTGTGTGTCTGTTACAACCCTGTGTGTCTGTTACAACCCTGTGTGCCTGTTACAACCCTGTGTGTCTGTTACATCCCTGTGTGTCTGTTACAGCCCTGTGTCTGTTACAGCCCTGTGTGTCTGTTACAGCCCTGTGTGTCTGTTACAGCCCTGTGTGTCTGTTACAACCCTGTGTGTCTGTTACAGCCCTGTGTGTCTGTTACAACCCTGTGTGTCTGTTACAGCCCTGTGTGTCTGTTACAGCCCTGTGTGTCTGTTACAACCCTGTGTGTCTGTTACAGCCCTGTGTGTCTGTTACAACCTGTGTGTCTGTTACAGCCCTGTGTGTCTGTTACAACCCTGTGTGTCTGTTACAGCCCTGTGTGTCTGTTACAGCCCTGTGTGTCTGTTACAGTCCTGTGTGTCTGTTACAACCCTGTGTGTCTGTTACAGCCCTGTGTGTCTGTTACATCCCTGTGTGTCTGTTAAATCCCTGTGTGTCTGTTACATCCCTGTGTGTCTGTTACAGCCCTGTGTGTCTGTTACAGCCCTGTGTGTCTGTTACAACCATGTGTGTCTGTTACAGCCCTGTGTGTCTGTTACAGCCGTGTCCGTCTGTTACAGCCCTGTGTGTCTGTTACAACCCTGTGTGTCTGTTACAGCCCTGTGTGTCTGTTACATCCCTGTGTGTCTGTTACAACCCTGTGTGTCTGTTACAGCCCTGTGTGTCTGTTACAACCTATGTGTCTGTTACAGCCCTGTGTGTCTGTTACAACCCTGTGTGTCTGTTACAGCCCTGTGTGTCTGTTACAGCCCTGTGTGTCTGTTACAACCCTGTGTGTCTGTTACAGTCCTGTGTGTCTGTTACAGCCCTGTGTGTCTGTTACAACCCTGTGTGTCTGTTACAACCTGTGTGTCTGTTACAGCCCTGTGTGTCTGTTACAACCGTGTGTCTGTTACAGCCCTGTGTGTCTGTTACAGCCCTGTGTGTCTGTTACAGCCCTGTGTGTCTGTTACAACCCTGTGTGTCTGTTACAGCCCTGTGTGTCTGTTACATCCATGTGTGTCTGTTACAGCCCTGTGTGTCTGTTACATCCCTGTGTGTCTGTTACAGCCCTGTGTCTGTTACAGCCCTGTGTGTCTGTTACAGCCCTGTGTGTCTATTACAACCCTGTGTGTCTGTTACAGCCCTGTATCTGTTACAGCCCTGTGTGTCTGTTACAGCCCTGTGTTTTTGTTACAGCCACCACGGGCGAGGTACTCGTCATCCGCAACTGCGTCCTCAAGAACATGGAGTCGCAGTGCGGCGCGTTCCGCTTCGAGGACGAGATGCTGCACGGCTGTGTGCTGACCTGTAACTACGACGGCTGCAATGGGGCTGTGTCGCAGCGGGCCGGCGCGCTGCCGGCGGCTGTGTGCGCCGCCGGGGCGCTGCTGCTGCTGCTGCTCCGGCTGGCCGGCTGAGCCGGCTGAGCGGGCTCTGCTGCTGACCGGCTGAGCGGGGGCTGCTGCTGCTCCGGCTGGCAGGCTGAGCGGGCACTGCTGCTGGCCGGCTGAGCCGGCGCCCCTGCTGCTGGCCAGCTGAGCGGGCTCTGCTCCGGCTGAGCGGGCTCTGCTGCTGACCGGCTGAGCGGGGGCTGCTGCTGCTCCGGCTGACCGGCTGAGCGGACTGAGCGGGCTCTGCTGCTGACCAGCTGACCAGCTGAGCGGGCCGCGCTGCTGGCCGGCTGAGCGGGCACTGCTGCTGCTCCGGCTGGCCGGCTGAGCGGGGGCTGCTGCTGCTGCTGCTGAGCTGATCCTGCTGCTGACCGGCTGGCCGGCTGAGCGGGCACTGCTGCTGGCCGGCTGAGATGACTGAGCGGGCGAGCGCCGTACTCTATGTACACACCACCCTTCAGAGGCATAGTTATTCATTTACGAGTACTTCAAAGTGACCGCTTTACACGGCATCACTCCGGGGACCGTGATTAGAATAATGTTTAGCTGCTTGCCGATAGGTGTTAGGGCCGACCAAGTAGGTAAGTACCTACCCACTCCAAGGCCGGCCACAGATAGAAACATAAAGCGGTTACCTATAATCCCTTCCTTAATGAAGGACTGCGAAGGAAGGGCTTCTAGTTCAAAAGAACATTCCTCGCCACTCGCCAGGTTGCGAAGCACTACCCCACGGATGTTCTTAAAACTGAAAGGTAAGTGATAGGAGCTATGGTGATCCACATTCGAAGGCAAGTCAAATGCCCGTCCAGCAACTCTTCAAATGGCCTTCTTTCCTCAGCCTAAATTACCAAGGAATAGGCATGTCCTGCTACCTGCTGAGGAATTTCCAGGCTAGGTACCTACGAGTATGTTTGGGGTTCAGTTTGATCCTACGATAGTGTGGCAATAGGGGATCTTACGAGCATCTTTCGATATTCCTCACACTAACGCATGTCGAGTTCTGTTTCGATTCATGACACACAAACCATGGCAACTGTTTATCCAATGGCCTTTGCCTGTGATCCCCGTGATCCCAACGTGCATGAGAAGGATTTTGATGCTTTGGTGATCTAAGGCTCATATTTGGAAAATGATGAGAATGTTATTGAAGCCGACTTATAAGGTATAAGTAGGCATAAGTAATCAGAGATAATGTGCCATTGATGTGACACGTGGAGGTTTGAGGTCGCGGAAGGCAGTGACACGGACTGTTGTCACCGACACCGCGCCGGATCGGAGCACGGGAAGACGCATTGCGCGCACACTCCCTGCTGCCCGTATCAGACGTGGGCCCGCTGACGGCCCGAGACGCACAGCTCCCGCGCGTGACGACTGCAGGAGCGTCGCACAGCTGATCGCCTGCTCTGTCTCCGCCTCTCTGTCTCTGTCTCTGTCTCTCTGTCTGTCTCTCTCTCTCTCTCTCTCTCTCTCTCTCTCTCTCTCTCTCTCTCTCTCTCTCTCTCTCTCTCTCTCTCTCTCTCTCTCTCTCTCTCTCTCTCTCTCTCTCTCTCTCTCTCTCTCTCTCTCTCTCTCTTTCTCTCTCCCTCTCTCTCTCTCTCTCTCTCTCTCTCTCTCTCTCTCTCTCTCTCTCTCTCTCTCTCTCTCTCCTGGTTTATCACACGAATTATCGCAAGTGTGCAATCATTATCATGTGCCAATGCGTATCAAATTACGCAGAGTGTATACGCTCCTGTATTGATGTTCTAGACTGTAAATAAATATATTTACCCTGAGCCGTATTATTTCACCTCAATAATAGGGCTATAGACCTGATTATCGCCGCTAGCTGTTGACAGCACATGGTCTAAATCACCTATCGTAGTCTTTCAGGGTACGTGCCGAGTGCTCTCAGGAGGCCCTCCGAGATTTATCTTAGTTCCATGCACGGGGTGCACTCCCGTGAACGGCTATCGATAGGGCAAAACAGAATGTCAACGGCAGCACAAAGTGGAAGACATGTTTCCATATTCAAAACAGTTTTATTAAAAGCGATTTATGTGCGGCGGTGCCCCATCACTAGCCTCGGCCGGCCGGGCGAGCTCGGCCCGGGGGGTGCCACCCCCTTCAACTGAGGATCAGCCTTCCGAGCGGCTGCGCCCCCTCCCCCGAGCAGTCAGTCCGGGGTGCCGCCCTCCCCCGAGCAGTCAGTCCGGGGTGCCGCCCTCCAGCTGCGGTCAGCTCGGCCGGTCACTGACAGTCGGCCGGCACAGGCAGCACGGCCCGGCCGCCGGCCACTGACAGTCGGCCGGCACAGGCAGCACGGCCCGGCCGCCGGCCACTGACAGTCGGCCGGCACAGGCAGCACAGCCCGGCCGCCGGCCACCCTCCTCAGCAGCTGACCCGGCTCGCCACCCTCCCCGGCCCGCTGACCCGGGTGTCAAACGGTCACTGAGACACTGACGCCGCACAGCGTCACTGACCCGAGGCGCCGCACTCTCCCGGTCCGCGGCCGAGCGCGTGCCGCCTTCAGAGGGGGGGGGGGAGGGGCGCCCCGCGGCCCGGGTGCCACCGGCGGCGGGCGGCAGCACCCCGATCACGACTCGGCTCGCCCGGTCCCGGAATGAAGCCAGTATCACAGCGAGGCAGGCGCGGCTGGCCTGGCTCGGTCGCCGACAGGTGGCGCCACTGAGGTCTCCGACTCTCGGTACATACATTACAGGCCTCCGCACCTCACACAACCACCGTCCGCAGCGCCCGCGCGCCGATGTGCAGACAGCATACTGTTGGCGAGGCTGGCCGGTCCTTCGGAGAGGTCGGCCCCATGCCGGCGCCCCGGCGCGCACCACTCACTGACGGGGTCCCACCGCGGCCACCCCTAGCTCACAGCGCCTCCTACTCACAATGAATCACACATGCCCCATGATGAAGATGATTTCGGCTGGCCGGCGCGTCAGTCGCTCACGCGGCGAGGTGCATTGGTCGGTCAACAGCTCGCCACCTTTCCCATTCCCACACACAGCGAGCGTCCGGGAGCGGACGGAGGGGCGGGCCGAGACTGACTGCCTGGCGGCCGCGCGGCGCCCGCAGCCCAGCGCCGCGCGGGGGTCCCCTCCCTGTCCGACCGGGGCTCCGGCGTCGGTCCGCGCCCTGCCGTCCGCAGAGGTGGTCTGGCCGTCCTGCGGGCTCTGCTCAGACGGCGTCCTCGGGCGAGCCGTCGTTCTCGTCGCTGACGATCAGCTCTGGCACGTGCTGTGAGCCGGGCGTGCTGGCGGCTGTGCCGGCGGCGGCCTCCAGTCGGCGGCGCACCAGCGGCACCAGGAAGCTGGTCACGCTGGAGAGCACCAGCAGGCCGCCGGCCGCGTAAAACGACACGTTGTAGTCGCCCGTGTAGTCGTAGAGGGCGCCTGGGGACATGTCGGAGCGGCGCCGTCAGCGGCCGACCGGACAGCCCGTCAGGGACCGGGGGCGGGGGAGGCGGGGGCAGGGAGCGGGGGGGGGGGGCAGGGAGCGGGGGGGGGGGCGGGGGCAGGGAGCGGGCCGACAAGGACCGGGGTCAGGGGACAGGGTACAGGGAAAGGAGACAGGGGACAGGTAACAGGGGACCGAAGACCGAAGACCGACGACCAGGGGCAGGGACAGGGGTCATGGGCAAGTGGCCGGGTCATGGGTCAGGGCAGAGGTCATGAGCAAGGAGCCAGGGCAGGGATCAGGGGCCGAGGTCAGGGCCAGGGGATGAGGTCAGGGTCAGATCACGAGGTCAGGCTGGGTAAGGGACCGATGTCGGGGGTCAGGGACCGAGGTTATGGATGAAGGACTGGGACACGAGACCACGGACCGGAAAATTCATGGGTCAGCGACAAGTGACTGGGGTCAGAGTCAGGGACAAGGTTTTGAGGACCAGGGCCAAGTGATAAGACAGGATTGAGGCCAGGGTCAGGGACCAGGATCAGCGGTCAGCGATCACATGAGGGGTACATTGGGTATAAGAACAAACACTGGTCGGCAGTGAGGGTGGCGGGACAATGGAACATGTGGCAGTCAATGAGCGTTTGAGAAAGCACTGCAGAACAGAGTGATTCTTTGTGTGCACTGAACGCTCGAAATAGCAAGCACACCATAGATGCTTGGTATGCGATTGGCCGGTAAAAGCTTAGAAATTGACTTGCTAGCCTTGGTACAAATTAACGTATAATGAGCGTCAATAACAACATTTTACTCAACACTCGGAAGCTTTGGCAAAGCTGTATAACATTAATTCTTACCGATGTCACAAGTGGTTACTGTTTTGATATGTAGCATGTTAAGTCAACGAAACTTGTTGTTAAAAAGAAATAGAGTAAAAAGAAAAGAAAACTCAAATTAACTTTAAAAAGACTGAAAACAACGACCATACAAACAATGCAACACAAAATCAGTATCCCTTGTTAGACTTGCAAACAATGTAGTATTTGAAAACGGTTAGTTTTATAAAAAGAAGCATACGAAGCAACTACAAGGAAACTCAACTGTTATTAAACTACTTCTAAAGTAGGTACAAGTTAAAACTAATGAAAACTAAGGCAATAGGAAGCACAAAATAAAACAAAACAACTAAAACAACCACATTGAAGGCATGCAAAACACAAAGGCAACAACACAAACACACGTGTATGGAAAGTTGGAGTAATGTCGAAACAGGACACAGCTCAAGCCATCCATGGAAGCGTGGATGTTCCGTTTGCGGCGTCGTGGGTAGGTATCTTTAGTTGAATATTGTGCCGTTGTCAGCGACCGGAGTTAACAGGGTGTAAGGGCCACAGGAGGCACAAAATGGTGACAGAGGCCCGCCTGTCTGCGCCCTCACACCCCAGTCTCAGAGAACACGTGCCGTTGGGTCGGAGTTCGTACGGACTCTAATCACAGACAATCGGAGAATGACAACGTCTCGAACGGCGCGACAGCAGTTTTAGGTATTTACTTTAGGTTATAGGTGTATACGTGCAAATCGCACACGATCTATCAAAGGCTGGCTGTCATGTCACTGGGTTCGATTGTGCTAAATCCAGTAACGGCCAGCTGAGAGTCGGAAGTTGTGCCGAGTGTGCCTGCCCTCCGGCCCGGCCGTGTTGGCACTCGCCGTCAGCCCTGGGTATGGGTATGGGTATGGGTATGGGTATGGCCTGCACGGGTCAGGGTGGATTGGAGCCACTGCGGCGGATCCCGACCCACACAGCCAGCACCCTACCCCGCGGATCGACTGAGGGCTGCATGGATGGTAATATCTAATGTTTAGTTGACTACACTGCCGATAGAATCCATGCCTGATGCCCAGATGACAGGCGAAACAACTTAATAAAGGACAATCAAATGACGAAGCACTCTGGTGAACAGCATTATATGTAATATATTTAATGGAATAACCTTCTGTTCAAAATTCTAAAAATTGCCAAAAGTTACCAAAAACACTTGAATATATTTCGGAGACGTTCCTTCATCGGTTCAAGTGATAAACATTTATAGCGCCACATTTGCCGTTAACATATCTGATCCATGTTTTTTAAATATAAATCTCGCGTCTAGGTTGAGATGTGTCTTCTAATTTACATCGACAGAATTACCTTTACAGCGTACGAACAAAATTAGCTCCTACACTTAACAGGTTATAGGTCATAATGTTGATTCACACTTACAATGTTAATAGGTTACAATATAGGGGGAGAGAAAGCGGGCAGGGATGAGGGGGGGGGGAGAATTCTAGGCAGGTCACATCAGTACTATGCCTACCAAAAGTAAACACCGGTGCCTGACAGGATAATTAAGTATGCAAACGAATGAATGACTTGAATGAATGCACGAATGAATGAAGTATGAAAGAGAGGGGCATAAGCATATTATAGGTGAGCAGTCGAATAAGAGAGAGAGAGAGAGAGAAATACACACAATAATAATCATCGCTTCACATAAGAAGTGTGTCTGTGTGGGAGGGGGGGGGGTCGTACAACAAATCGAAACACGTCATATACCAGAGCCTATGATCAATAACCGTGTGGTATTCTAGCTCCTACCGGGGACCCGTAACGGACACCACTACTTGACGGTTTACACGATCGTCCATGATGCCACGTTTGTGTTGAGTGCTGGTCGCTCGTCTCTAATATGAAGAGATTCAGCAATCTTTCTCTCGCGCTCAGTCTTGCACACTTGTATTATTGCAGCTGTCACGTGTGATGGGCTCGGTTGTATGCCACGGTGATCTTCCCGGAAATGGTCCCCGAGAGGTGAATCTCTGCGTTGGTTTTTCGCGTCTCGTAAATGTTCATTGTACCGGAGTCGCACCATTCTGCCGGTTTCCCCGATGTATGTCTTCTGGCAGAGGGTACACGTCAGTTGGTAGATGACTCCGGATGTGTGACATCGTCCTCGAAGACCCGCCGCGCACGCATGACAGCGAGCTCCTCCCGGGCAGGGTGGGGGTTTGAGGGCTGACCGTACCAGATGTTGTTTGATGGTGTTATCGTTCGTCCAGGCCACTCCCAGATCCTGCTGGCCGCTGCCCCTCACCACCGCCTGTACGGATCTTGTCAGCTGGTCGTCGCACGGATCACACACCTTTTCACCGACAATGGATACAAGCTCAAGACAATCAACAGAGCCATTGAGGACTGTATGAAATCCACAGACCAAAGGAAAAGGAACAGAACATCAATCACCCGACTAGTTCTCCCCTTCATCGACGACCAGCTGACAAGATCCGTACAGGCGGTGGTGAGGGGCAGCGGCCAGCAGGATCTGGGAGTGGCCTGGACGAACGATAACACCATCAAACAACATCTGGTACGGTCAGCCCTCAAACCCCCACCCTGCCCGGGAGGAGCTCGCTGTCATGCGTGCGCGGCGGGTCTTCGAGGACGATGTCACACATCCGGAGTCATCTACCAACTGACGTGTACCCTCTGCCAGAAGACATACATCGGGGAAACCGGCAGAATGGTGCGACTCCGGTACAATGAACATTTACGAGACGCGAAAAACCAACGCAGAGATTCACCTCTCGGGGACCATTTCCGGGAAGATCACCGTGGCATACAACCGAGCCCATCACACGTGACAGCTGCAATAATACAAGTGTGCAAGACTGAGCGCGAGAGAAAGATTGCTGAATCTCTTCATATTAGAGACGAGCGACCAGCACTCAACACAAACGTGGCATCATGGACGATCGTGTAAACCGTCAAGTAGTGGTGTCCGTTACGGGTCCCCGGTAGGAGCTAGAATACCACACGGTTATTGATCATAGGCTCTGGTATATGACGTGTTTCGATTTGTTGTACGACCCCCCCCCCCCCTCCCACACAGACACACTTCTTATGTGAAGCGATGATTATTATTGTGTGTATTTCTCTCTCTCTCTCTCTCTTATTCGACTGCTCACCTATAATATGCTTATGCCCCTCTCTTTCATACTTCATTCATTCGTGCATTCATTCAAGTCATTCATTCGTTTGCATACTTAATTATCCTGTCAGGCACCGGTGTTTACTTTTGGTAGGCATAGTACTGATGTGACCTGCCTAGAATTCTCCCCCCCCCCTCATCCCTGCCCGCTTTCTCTCCCCCTATATTGTAACCTATTAACATTGTAAGTGTGAATCAACATTATGACCTATAACCTGTTAAGTGTAGGAGCTAATTTTGTTCGTACGCTGTAAAGGTAATTCTGTCGATGTAAATTAGAAGACACATCTCAACCTAGACGCGAGATTTATATTTAAAAAACATGGATCAGATATGTTAACGGCAAATGTGGCGCTATAAATGTTTATCACTTGAACCGATGAAGGAACGTCTCCGAAATATATTCAAGTGTTTTTGGTAACTTTTGGCAATTTTTAGAATTTTGAACAGAAGGTTATTCCATTAAATATATTAATAAAGGACAAGTGAAATATGATGATCAAAAACCGTAGCCTCATACTAAGGTAAATATATTGCCGAATATAATTAAGTGAAACAAAGGTTAAGTGAAGTTGACTAAAGTAAAGGTTAGTAAAAAAGAAGTTCAGTAAACTTAAGTACGTTTTTCATCATCATATTATTTAGGTACAGGGACCCGCAGTTGCTACTGTACACATATATTACCAATTTAGAATTGCGCTATTATTTGCTAAGTGCTGGCCATTGGAGAAAGAAAATGTAGCGCAAAGTATGGAGGAATAACACATGTTTGCTCCTAGCACTTATGTTTTGTATAATTCCTCTTACCGCACCAGATATTCTTCCAAAACTACAATCGTGCTATTTTTCCGCGCCGGTTGCCTCCCCAGAGCCCGTCCTTGGTATCGCCTATAGCCTCCGTTCCCGCTACGTGAATGAAAGTCACGTGACTACTACAGGTTTGCGCTCAGTACTAACACACCTAGCCCGA